GTATATTGGAATAAAAAAGTCTGTGATTATAAAGTGATAATGGAAGTTTATTAGTGGAACACAAATTCGTGCTGTAAAACTTATATACATACATACATTTTTTTTGAAAATTTTCGTAAAAAAATTTGTTTCTAACAGAAACTAAGTAGAGATATGGTAGGTCTAAAGTAAGTAATCATAATTGGTCGGTTGAGATCCGGTAATTTTAATATCAAAGATGTACCACGCTCTGGAAGAAGAGTTGTCAGTCATGTAAGTATTGGTTTGATTGCCCAGGTTTCACACATTGCACCAAAAACCAGTTGACACTCGCTGTTGAATTGCAACAAAATCGACACATTTCTGAAGCGTATGATTTCTGTTGATGAAAAGTGTGTTTATGAGCCTGAGCAAACGATGGCGAAGCAACTACTAACTACATTTAACTACTAAACTTCGGCATATAAGAGATATGGGAACGAATGAACAGATATTATTAAATTTTTGACTTCAAACCACATAATGCTGACCATATACGTCACTGCTAAATTTATTGATATAATTGACTCACTAATCCGTATCTACGTCAACAAGAACAACAGAAATTATTACAAGTATATTGGGACATGAAGGCTAGAGTGTGTGCTTCAATAATTTTCGACGCAGACACATTGTGGTCAAGAAAACATATCCACTTAATAACATATCTTCTTCCTGATATATTTTATGCAAAGACAACACAGTATAACGGAATTCGTTATAATTAGTATGTGCGACTGTTTTTAAATTAATTAAGAGACATTTTGATATAAAACCGGACGTAAGCACAGGTGCTTTCATATTCGTTATCGGGGCTAAGAAAGGATCTGATGGAATTTAAAATAATGTCGTATGGGAAGGAATTTATCATGTTTAACTAGTATGTGCGGACTGGCAACTCTGCGTTGAAATAAATTTTCGCGAATATCCCACGTTACGGACGTTGGAAGTGGTAGTGAGTGTTCATTACGTACACGCAGCTGACACGATCTCTCTTATGAGAGCGCAATGTAAATGAAATCTTACAACGGTGGGTTGCCAGTCTCGATATTTTGTAGTAATTAAAAAATAAACTTGAATAGGTATATTTAAAATATTCTTAAACTAATTGAAAATTACAGTCGAATACAATTATTTATAAATAGGTAGACTTATTTCAATAATAGGATTTTAGTTTTAATGTTTTACATTATGAAAAATTATAACCGAATGTAGATGCGTGCAAAACATTTATACCAATTAAGCAGTGGCAACAATACGCGAATGTGATCGAAAGAGAACAATTGAGTTCTATGTTGTCATTACGGAAGGGCGGCACGTCGACCGAATACATACCGCAGCATAATTCTCTGTGCTCAAACCTTGATCATGACTAATAAGTCAACGCAGTTGTATCAACAGTCTTCATATAAAAAGAAGTACTGAAGTGAAGAGAAATTAGTTACAATCTAAACGTTATTACAATCACAGCTATTTTGCTGCTACAAAAAGGAGCAACAGAAAATTCACTCATTACAAAAATGAAGTTATTATCATTAGTCCTAATATTAGCTGTAATCGCTTTCGGCTTTGCTAGAACCACGAGTATTGTTAAACCGGCCTTAGTCAATCGGAGAGTAATAATTTACAAAACGCATCGTGGAACCATAATGGAAAAAAAGGAAAATGATCGTTTAAAAAGCGCGTTTCAGCTGATATGAGAAAACAAATCTAATATCGCGAATCTGATATAAGCATCAAAGATCAATAAAATTTATATTCAATTCAAATAATTTTAATTTTTCCATTGTTTATATATATATTTTTTATTATATATTATATATTTTTATTTCTTTTTATGCTTATTAACTTCAAACCTTATTTATTATTACTTTAGTTCCACCTAAATATTTTAATATGAGTCTTATCAATATGAATAAAAACAGTGTAAAATAAAAAAAATAAATATTTTGAGACATTTTTTAAAAATAAGAAAAAAAAAAGAACTGTATGAATGTAAAATAGCTGGAGTGGAGAAAATGGAGTCTTCCGTTCTGAGAAAATACATAGTAAATATTATCGCTTTTGACTATGGAACGAAGCGGTATTATTCTGTCAAGTTAATAAACTAATCACTACAAGAAAATGATAATCTTAATTGTAGTAGATGATGATAAGGAGGAAGAACCAATGGGGCGAATGGATGAGGCCTCTGAAAAACTTTAAAATGATTTCGGGTTTCACTAATGTTCGAAGTCGAGTTTCACAAAAGCAATAGAACTTGCCAATCAGTTACTGTCTAATCCAGCTTTCATCATATAAGGTCCGCAAAATGGATAAAATTTTTATTGAAGTAGATAATAGGCGGAATCTACTTATTAGCATTAAAAGTCCGGGAGCTCACTATATATATAGATATGCGCCAAGCATGAATATAGCCTCGCCACTCTGTGGTCACCTAAGCCTAATCGAGGCATGGGTTCAAGAATACTGTGAAAGTTTCATGAATACTGAAAAGTGTATGAGATTTTATTGGGTAGCCGCATCCCACTCAGTTTACATCATCAGTATCTCAAAGGAACAAGTGGGTCATATAATTCACGAATTTTGCAAATGAAAATTTTTTTAGAGCGGTTGATGCTTCGACTTTTGCACCTCGATCAAAGAGACAAACTTTTTAGACTTTCAAAAGACAGTTTGGCACTGATAAAACACCATAAGTACTAGTTTTTGGGCCGATTAGTGTAATTTGTTGAAACATGGATACATAAATTAGTAGTCCGATGAATGGTTGTTGGCCGGTGAAAATCGGCCGAAGCGCCTAAAAACACAACAGTCGGCAAGAAAGTATTTTTTGGGATTCACATGGAAATATTTTTGTTGACAATCAATAAACAGTAATATTACTACGTACTTCACTTGGTCGATTGGAGGCTAGGTCAAAGTAAAGTCAACTTGTTAAGCTAAAGGTTTTCTAGCTCATGTAGTCCAGTAGTTTGAAAACATTAAAAGTAGTTTTTCATTTAACATTACATGTTTAAAATTCTATTAGATCCCTTTACCTCGCCATAGATTAATCCAGTATTAAAAAAATATATGAAAACACAGCTACTAACTAGTATGGAACTCTCATCTCAAAAAATTATCATAGACGAAACCTTCAGACACTTTGCGCGAGCTCTTAAGGAAATTAATGAGTTCTTTGTCCTTTTTGACAACTAAAAATGGAAGAATGTAGAAAATCGGAGCTGCACGAAAGAGTAGTGAATCATATTAAATATATTTAATTATATTAAAATGGGATGTTTTATCAAAACGTTCAGAATTTACGTCAATGGAACAATTGGGTTTACCACAATGTATCGTAATAAAATTTGCACGCACCGTTCGCTAAGTACTAGTAAAGACGATAATCTTGGAAAATGGTGCTTTATGGTTTGAAAATACGTTTTTTGAAGGTCTGAAATTTTTAAGGGTATTCAAAAATCACAAATGCTGTTTTTAATCAAAGTAAACGTATGCTAAAATAAATAAGCCCTACCCTAGCCTGTTCTCTCTAGGCGTTCTGTTAAACTCATTGTAATATTGACATACTAAGTTTTTTTCTTTTAACTTAAATTTGTTACGATCAGGTTTAACGGTAAAAATTAAAATTAACCAGAGTTTCCTACCGAAGTCTTGTAAGCCACGTGGACTCTTTTAGTATTTTTGGGAGTGAGGGGCGCTAAGCTCGAAGGCAATGGAATGTGCTATATTTTTGACATGGTCTGGTGAACGAATGCCATTGTAAACGGTGTACAGCAGTTAAGCAAATAATTTCAGGTTTTGGTACCAGCTATCACTTTATAGAAACTCACACCTATTTTAACATAACTCCAACATATATTGACGGCTATATTATGTATGTACTTAACAATAGAGACAGGGAAATATCTTTTCGGTACAAAAGTCCGAAGTGTGATGTCAACTAAAAGTAGATACTATACCGTCCGTTAGTCCAATTTATAAAGTTTAGGAACAATTCTACACTCAATCATGGGTAAGTTGAGTTGTCAAGAATGAAGTTATATATTACGTGAGTATGCTAACATTGGCGCTTTAATTATATTAGCTAAAGAGAATTTTTTAATATTAAATCATCAAGGGAAATTTCTGGCATTATTCATTAATAAGTTAACGTACATTTAGTGGGTTTTACACGAGAATACCCAAACAGAATTATGAAAGAACCACAAGAGTAAAGACGTCAATAATAAAACCGCAAATTATTTCATAAAATATTGCACTCGTTTTATTTAAGTATGTGTTTTTTTGTGTGGCATTATGCAACACAAGCGACTTGACCCTAAGTCTTTCGCTTGCGGTGAGCAATTTTTTTGTTTGATGTGTCATTCGAGTATACCATAAGTGCAGGGGTTGAAAAGCGGAACAAGAAAAGCAATGTGAAAGCAATCAGATGAGCTCGTCACTAAATGGGACATTTCTGACTGAAATCAGAATTGAGTTGTTAAATTTCACAAAAGTGTGCGAAATTTTTTTTCGCACAAACCCTCTATCTTTATTTGAGCTTTTCGAAAGCGAACCTGTATTTTTGCAGCTGCTCTTAATTAAATCTAAATCTCCTGAAGTTGGAGTTTGTCTTCATACTAGTTTTTTTTAATCTTATTAAGATCGAGACGAATTATACCAATATATCATGTAATATATTATATATAATATAATATTAGCTTTAATTCCGTTATCTCTAGATATTCTATTGTGGCTCTAGTTAAATAGTTAGTAAGAAGCAGCAAGGAAACTAGTTTATTTATAGTTTTAGGTATAATGTTAGGCACAAGAAAGTTCGAACTGGCTTTCACTGCCAGTAGTAGAATTATGTTAAAAAAAAAAATTAAGTGAAAAGTCGATTACAACTTTTCTAACATTTGTTTCCTCGTTGCTGAGATTTTGCGCCCAACACTACGCAATAGTAATATATCGATTATGCACACAATTCCACTTACCATTCTGTGCGTCGCTGCCTTGAAATAAATTGCGCAGGTAATTGAAAAACCGACGATGTAATGGCCGACGCCGATGCCGTGACATACGACGTCCCTGCTCGACGTCATCGCCAGACTTGGCGTCCGCGCCGTCGCCGTCGCCATCAGCGGCAATACCACATTGCGACGCATCGACGACAATTTCAACACTTCGCTGTATTTTTTTCGACGACGCCAAATTGCTGCGTTTTATCGCCGCATTTGAAGGAACAATTAAAGCATCACCAGCACTCGGTCCGGGACCAGCTATGCTGACTATTTGACCACCACCACCATCAACGCCAATCTCTGCCAAACTGCCACTGTTGTTGTCTGCCGCTGTCCCCACCGCAGCAGCGGCAGCTGTGGGCTGTTGTTGGATGACGTGCGATGACAGTGTGGACTGCGTTTGATGGCTGGAATTGGCGCTATTGCCGCGATATATTAGCTCCATGTCGTTGGACATTTGACGCAGCGCATGCAACCCTGTGTTCACGCTACTGCTAGTGCTTATGCTCGTTGCTGTGGTTGTGTGGGTGTGCGCCCCACCGACAATGTGGTGGCCATTGCTAGCAATGCCACCGCCGCCCCCGCCGTTGAGGCCCATGTAGTAGGCGCTGTTGGGGCGCTGAGAATGTGAATGTTGCACTTGTGGACCGGCCATAGTGATGGTGGGGTGTTGTTGTTGAGAATTGTGTTTGTCTTGCACCTACTTATAATTAATTGGAACACATGTTTTTGGCTTTAACAAAGTGGAAATGACTTTTTTCTAATGTATTTGCTATTTTAAATAATTTAATTTAATTCTTACTATTTTATCGATTTTTTTTTATATGAAATTAGCTACTATTAACAGTTAATTATTTAAAATTGTTACACATTAACTTGGTTGATTTTAATTACATATTTTTATTGAAAATAATTTTAATTTATTTGCCCATTACAACATTTTTAGTTATTTGTGAACTTCGTTGGAATTTAGTTTATGATTTTTTTCGTTATTAAGAGAACTCATGCAGAAATGCTTTCACTTTTATGCAAACAAACACATTATTGCAATTTATTCAAAATTATTTATTGAATTTATTTTTTATTATTTCTTTTTTGATTTTTGGCTCGCAAAGATTTTGGCACTTATTCAACACTTTTTGCTTTGCTGTTCTCACCTACTTGCCACATTACGTGGCACAATTTTTAATTAGTAGCAATAAAATGCGTAAATTTACAGACGCACGAAGATTGACCGACCCCCGCACAAAAAAACCGCCCATCGAGCAACTCAATACGAGTATATACGATGTCGTCACTGCTTGCTTTGTTGTTGTTGCGTACAAAGTGTAATGTTTTTGCAATTATTGGCCATTACTCATTACTTGGATTCATATTAAAAGCGATTATAAATACGCATTCCTAATTTTATACCAGACATTTGTGGTTGGCTCGCATATCGATGACGTCTGACACTCGGTCAAACGCCTCACCAGTGATATTGTTGACATTAGCGGTGACATGTGCATTTGTAAGCATAGCGAGCTGTTGGCAAACAATCGTGAACGGCGGTGGAAATCGCAGCATTTTTTAGTATTTTGGTATTTTTTTTTGCTAAAAAGATATTAATGAATTATTATTTGTAGATATTTTGAATTTTGTGCTTTAATTAATTCAGCTTGGTGGGTTGCTGCATTTAATTCGCAATTTGATTTTGATTTTTTTATACGTTGAGTGTGCTAATTTATTTATTTTAATTGTTAGAGCATCTGCAAGTAAAAAAGAGAGAAGAGAAATGCAAAAAAAGTAAGTAAAGAGCGCATTATTGTTAGTTTGCAGTGCTTAAATGACACACATGGGTGTACATTTGATTGCTAAGCTTCATACAAATAAAGCTCAGCTCTAAGCGATAATTTATTTAAACATAAGTGTTAATACTTTGAAATTTATTGTACAGAAAGCTTATGCATGCAAAATTATTAGCATTACTATGGAAGTATATTTAGTTTTGATTTCTTTATTATTCAGGTTAATATCGAAAAAAAATTTATTAACAATAAAAAGTTATATGAGTATCTGACGACTACAGGGTGACACCTATTTATATGCAATGTTTTTTATAAAAATAGCAGTTAGAGTTGGTATTGGCTTTAATGCTAAACACTGATCTACATATTTTTAAAAACAATTTTCGCAAAATCTGTATTTTCAAATTTACATAACGGTTTAGAATGCATCCTAAATCGGATAGCGTAAAATTAACTGTATTCAGGGATGTTGTAGAATCTGATAGTTGTCGGAAACAGAATTGAAACCGATAAAAAGATGTCATGAATTCAGGTTTCGTGAATTCACAAATTATTGGTTTGATATTCGAAACAGAAATTGTATAGGTTTTCCTCCAATAAAATAAAAGCTAAAATTGCGGAACTCATTGTAAACTTTAATATATACTTGTAGTATTTTAAATTTATCAAGTGCTTTCAAAATTATTAATTTGCAAGTTTTGTCATACTAATAAACAACTGACTCGAATATTAGTTTTGCGTATGTTCGAAAAGACGAAAATGCAAACGGATTCTGTGACACCATTGAATATAAACTATAATGCTAGGGATTCCATAGCGAACAAAAAGTATTTTCTTTAAAGGCATATAAGAGAATCAAACAAGATCCAAAGTTAACTTCGGTTGCTGACTTCACAAGTTTCCATTTTCGATATCTCGAAAACTAAAGAACTAGACGGATATTGCTAAATCGACTGAGCTCTTCACGCTGAACATTTATATAAGTATAGTGAAGATCCCGAAAAAATACACATTTTCAAATACCAAAATCAAAATCAATAAAAAACAGGTAAGGAAGGGCTAAGTTCGGTTGTAACCGAACATTTTATACTCTCGCAAAGTCAAATGGTATACTCGTTTGAGATTTCTTTGTGGATTGACTGATATTTTCGGTAGAAGGTCAACTATAGGCACTGGGGTCCACATTTTTAGTACTTAGGGACTTGAACAGTTCTGGTTAGATTTATACAATTTTTGGTCACAAGGTGGCATACTTTAAACGTATTATTCACGCAAAGTTTTACCCCGATATAATCATTGTTGCTTGATATGCATAGTGGAAAGGAAAAGAATCAGATGGAATTTAAAATGGTGTTATATGGGAAGTAGGCGTGGTTGGAGTCCGATTTCGCCCATTTTCTCACTATACATAGAAATATGAAAAGAACGTTATGCACCGAATTTGGTTGAAATCGGTTAAGCAGATCTCAAGATATGGGTTTTCCCCTAAAAGTGGGCGGTGCCACGCCCACTGTCTAATTTTGAACGCGGTTCCTATAAAGTCATCTCATACCATCCCAGAGATAAAATCAAATGTCTCTGGCGTGTTTAGTGCTTGGTTTATCGCGCTTTTAGTATTTTTCAACAGTAGCGTTATATGGGGAGTGGGCGGAATTGTCACCCGATTTCACCCATTTTCACACCGTCAATAGAAGTGCTAAAAACATTTGCTCACAGTAAATTTGGTTATTATAGCTTTAGTGGGCTATGAGATATGTACATTAAACTTATTAGGGGCGGGACCACGCCCACTTAAAAAAAAATTTAACTGCAGATGCCCCTCTGTAATGTGATCCTTTGTACCACATAACAGTCCTGTATCTTATTGCGGAGCTTAGTTATGGCAAGTTTTATAAAGATATCTCAATTTTTACTCAAGTTAGAGCTTGCACGGACGGACGGACGGACGGACAGACAGTCACACGGATTTCAACTCGTCTCTTCATCATGATCATTTATATATATATAATCCTATATCTAACTCGATTAGTTTTAGGTGATACAAACAACCGTTAGGTGAACAAAACTATTATACTCTGTAGCAGCAGGTTGCTAGAGTATAAAAATCACGAATCGGTTGTAGTGTGATATGTGAGGCGTAATGTAAATCAGCATCCTGCTTTACTCATAACTCACCAACTGTATATAGTAGTTATAGTGTATAACTGCACAGAAGTAGAACAGCGGAGGGTTCGTCGCATGCGCATGTCATATGGTAATGTTATGTTCAACATTCATCGAATGTAAAAAGGCTTTCGTTAGAACCTTCTGCAGAAATAAACGTATAACTGTTCACATATTTCTGTGCTGTGGTTCGCACGTTCTGCGTGTACATAAAGAAATAACATTTCATTTCTATATATAAAGTATTTTAAGAGTCTCCGACGTTTTATATTGGGTGTTCGAAATTTCGTGGTCAACCTTATAGATCACGTTAAGATAGATTTCCAAAAGATTGATGGGAACTTGAGAAAAACTTTTGAAACATGTGGTTTAACGGAGTAATCACTGTTTTAATGAGAATATAATCAAAATATTGGGTTCAATAACTCTGTTAGGCAAAAAAAACAGATTGACCACATAAAGTGGTCCAATTGTAATTGGCGAAATATGTTAAAGCTTGACTAAGATAAGGTGATACTTATTTTGTAACGTGGGACAAGCCCACAAAATTCTCCAATGTGCTAAAAATACTCATTATATGGAAGTGTTTTACAATATTGGGAGGTGGTTGAAAAATAAATGTTTCGGTAAGGTAAAGTTTCGACGTTCGGTTGCTATATAAAAGTGCTTAACCTACTACATAAAAAATTAGCTACAAGTGTAGCACCCTTTTTCGATGAAAGCAATAATTCTTTGTATTCTGAATTCAAGGTATTAATTATTGAAATGTGCCGTATATTAGTAAAGGGACTAGTTGATATCCTCGAAATGGCCATAATTGTGGCGCTTCGCTTCGATTTCGAGTTCGTTTTACATAATTAAGTAATATTGGAACAATCATTTTTATGATAGTGAAATGACGATCCTTTAGTAAATATGAGAATTAATGTCGATGATTCTTATCGGTGAAGAATAGTTTCACTTTCTAGATAAAAAGCTAAGAAATCTAACAAGTAACGTTCGTCTATAGGTAGCGCGAGCCGAAGCCTTATGATCTGTGTCACTGAATTCAAAATTCACTATTCACTATGGTTTTGGCTAAATTTATCTTCAAACAAGAATAAGGCTTAACCAAAACCAGTTCAAGACAATACATACTCTTGTGTCTTAAATTAAATTCTCTTTGGGTTAAATCTTCATATTATTCTTTCAATCAATACAACTATTGTGCATACTCTTACAACAAGCATTCCTACCATTCTTATTATCCTGCAATCCATTGGCAATTTCGGCACCACTTTGACTTCAGTAGATGGGCAGAAGAATAAAAATTATTACCGGATATTTATACTACAGTAGCGACAAAAATCCAATTTCCCCTTACCTTCCGGCAGTGAAAAGCACGTTGCGCATTTGTGAGACAGCTCGGAAGTTACTCCGGCCACACGCGGTAGAGCAGCGTTGCACTCATGTTCACCTAACCGGTTGCTATAGTCAACGGCGGCTGTCTTCCTGTTTACTTGAACTGGAATAAATATTTTTCTAGCTCGCCGTCCTAGACGTGGCGCAGGTAAGCGATAAGAAAAAAGCAACAAAAGCGCTCATATTTATTTCATGACTATAAAGCTAACTACTAGTGGACTAAGGTAGTCACATTTTAAATTGAGCAACCTAAGGATGTGCGGCAGGAAATCACTGAAATGCCAGTGGATGCTACAATACCAAAGAAATATATTTGAAACGGGAAACTTTATGTGCATGCTTTATGTATGAATTTATATTTTTATTGTAAATATTTTAAAATAACCTTTGATAGTAAACATAATTGTGCACAAAGAGATATGAAAGATATTAATTGTAATACTTGAATTTGAATTATAAAGAGTTCGTTTCAGTTATTCTTATGACCTGAATTTCATACCTGGCTGTATCGACGTTAGCTTTCTAGCTTCAAAAACAATGGATTAAACATGATCCCATTATCTCACCCTGGAGTCCAATCCACAGGCAACTGGATGCAGTGCATGGGATGAATACTTTAGAAATAATTTTCTTCGACTAACGTGAAAGGAATAAACTCGTCAGCTTCTATTAAAAATAATTTACCGAAATTTCGAAAAGACGAAACCACTGAAAAATGGTCTCATTTGAAAAAGAAGAAAGCTGTATACCGTGGCACAACTCAATGAAAACGATGGAAATTTTAATTGAACCGCATTTCAAGACTGTGTTCTGCGTATCTGTATATTGCGCTGAAAGAAGTTTTCTCAACCAAAGAAAGAACCACAAACAATAGCGCATGCGTCAGAAGACATGTTACTGTAAAGTTGTACTAAAAGTAGTCCCAGCTTATTTAAACATTCGCTACTTTCTAAAGCTTTTGCCAAAATTTCACTTATGAGTGGAGCTGTTTCTAATTTAAATTTGGAAGAACTAATATCACCTGTTGATATCAATGATTTACAGTTTTGCTTGCATTAGGATATCAGTTGAAACGTTTGAGAAAAACTTTGAAAATATAAACAAAAATATAGAGGAATACAAATATCCTTTACCTGTCATGATATATATATGAAACTATACATTTGTCTATATGTATGTGTGAAGAAATAAGTTTATATCTCAATTGCAAGCTAAATGCACTTGTGAACGTTCAAGGTGCAATTGTAGCTGTCCACACAATAGAGACGAGCCCATTTGCTATTTTTCAATGAGACAAATGCACTACAAAATGCTTTTGAATTTAACAGCTGCATTTTTTGCTCTTGTTATGTTTTTTATACCCTTGCAACATGTTGCTATAGAGTATA